GATTTAGCTTCGTAGAGCAGTAAGATATCATCGGCATAGAGCATTAATGTACCTTCGAGAGGAATATATGATAAATCATTGATAAATATGATAAATAAAATGGGTCCCAGGACTGAGCCTTGGGGTACTCCAATTTTAATAGTGCTACAAGAGCTTTTTGCACTGCCAATCTGTACATATTGTTCTCTATCTCTCAGATATGTGGTAAGCCAGTCTAAACAGGGTCCTCTTACTCCACTTCTTTCAAGTTTTTCTAGCAAGATTCCATGGTGAACTGTATCAAATGCTTTTCTTAGGTCAATTAAGAGACCAGCTCCTAACTGTTTTTTGTCCAGTGTTGCTTGAATATGCTTGATTGAATTGAAAGTTGCACACTCCGTGGATCTTTTCTCAGTAAAACCATACTGTGCATCAGCAAAAAATTCATTACTTTCCAAAAAATTTACAAGCCTATTTTTGAAAAGTTTTTCCAGAATTTTAGAGATTTGAGGTAGTATCCTGGTAGTATGCTGGTGCAGTGATGATATGCGGATACCAGATCCACGATTGTTCTCTACATCTAAAATCTGCCTTTAACTTTCTACAGGATGTAAATACCGATTTATTTATGAATCTGTTTTTAGCCCGCCCTTCTGCTTTGAAAAAGCTATCCAGCGGGCTTATGCAAACGACCTCGTGTGTGTCTGTCTGTGTGTCTGTCTGTCTGTTTCACTAGAAGGAGATGTGCTAGAGACTTAAAATTTTCAGGGTATCTTAAGGTTTACTTATAGAGAACGAAACGCCTACGGCAAATCCTGGCAACCACCCCTAAGGGTGTGAATGGGGGTATCCAAGGTTCAAAAATTCTTCCAAAAAGTATTTTTCTTTTTATGTTCTCCTTAGGAGTAACTCGTCAAAGTAGAGCCCTTTGGGCAAAAATTACGTCCGTTTTGCTATATCTCTAGCCGTTTAGGCGCCAGAGGGTCTTTTTTGACGAAAATAAGCTAAAAATTGCCAAAGTGATCAAACGGTTGTAGAAAAAGGCATAAAAACCGCAAAATAGAAAGGAAACTCTCTCTCCACCCCCAAAAACCGTTTTCTAAACAGAAAGGTGGATTGTAGTCACGATGCTTCACCGTTACATCCCTTTCTCGAGTCTTTGGGGCAAACTCAAAGTCAACGGGTTCATGCGGGCCGAAGGCCCGCTACATCATTTGATCATGTTCTTCAGCAAATCGCGTGACAGAAATGGTCGGGCCGCAGGCCCGACCATCGCCGCCGGCAGGCCAAGGAGGCCCGGCCCCTGCCGAACGGAGTTGCCGGCGAAGCGAAGCGGAGCTGGCAACTTCGTTTGGCGGAAGGGCGGGCCTGCTTGTTAGGCTTCGCGTGCGCTAAAGCGCCAAAAGCGAAGCCTTAAGCGGAGGTCGTGGTGTCCGTGCGGTGTGCGCTGTGCATCGTCCACCAATTTTGTCGTGCACACCGCGCGGCTCTGGCCCGCAGTCCAGAGTGGCCCGGGTTGGGTAGAAGAGGGGGAGGTGGGAGGCAGGGATAGGAAAGTTACTTTTAAAAATGTAACTAGTTACAGTTGCAGTTAGTTTTGCCAAAAATGTAACTAGTTTCAGTTACAGTTACTTGTTCTTAAAGATTGCCGTTACAGTTACAGTTACATTTTGTTCACCAAAAATTGTAACTAGTTACAGTTACAGTTATCGCGGTAGTTTTTGAGTTAAATTTGTCGTTGTTTTCTATTAATTATTTTGTAATGGTAAAATTGTTTGCAAGGTAGGCGATTACGCATTATTTAAAGTCCGCAAAACTCTGCTTTCCTCGTCGTCTAGCGAGGGTCAGAAGGGGCTAGCGGTGGACGGGTGCGGGCGGGTAGGGGTAAGGGGAAGAATAGGGGGCATCCTTCTTTTTGTGCAGCAGGTACAGAGTGTTGCGACTATTGCCGGACAAGCGAGCGGCTAACCCAAGGTCGCCAAGGCCGGGCGAATGTGAACCGTGACAAATGCGGCAGAGCATCTCGAAGAACGCTCTGTTGAAACGGATATAATTGACATGCAGTAAATAAAAGGGTCTTCCTCCTCGACCTCGCCGCCTTGCTTGCACAGGCCTGCACAGACCCAGACCCCAGATGAGCCGAAACAATACCGTCTTTCCAGCTCCTTTTCCTTCATTCCTCTGAATGCAGCGCTAGCCGCAGACTCCAGATAGCACATTGCAACAGAATGTGGATAAACAGGAAAGAAATCTCATACTTTTTAAAAGTTCTACTAGGCAAAAATAACTGTAACTGATATTAGTTACAGTTACAGAAAAAAATGTAACTAGTTACAGCTACAGTTATTTAGTTTGAAAATGAAACTAGTTACAGTTTCAGTTGCTGCAAATTGTAACTAGTTACAGTTTCAGAAACTAGTTTAGTTATATTTTTCCCATCCCTGGTGGGAGGGGGCGGGGGGCGATCCAAAGTCAGCGCGTCGCAGGGTCCGGCAGGTAGGCTGCAACAAAAGGCTAATCCGCCGCGCCGAGGCCCGGCTCGTGCTGGTGGCGGAGCGTGGTGAAGACATTGACGTAGCTCTGCCTGAAAGTGGCCGAGGTGTTCAAAGTAGTTCAAATTTTGGTCTGGTCAACGTTAAACGCTCATTTTTGAAAACAAAACCACCACGGCGTTTAACTTTTCAAAAATATTTGCGTTTATACGACAATTTTGCGCTTTTCTAGTACTGTTAAAAGCTTACAGTGATTTTCACCGTAAACTACAGTGCTGCAGGCTTTCACTGTAGCTTACGGTGCAAATCAATGTAAGCTTTTAACAATGAGTACAATAAACCTTAGGCACTACGGTGATCCCAAATTGGGTTCATTCATAGCCTAGCGCCCTAGTGCCTACATGGAGTTACGCAATTCCTCAGATCACTCTGTAAGATAAATTTCTTTGCTCAAAGAATTTTAATTTTAAGCCCGGTATGTGCACGTGAAGCCTTTTTAGACCACATTGGATAATGTGGGCCTTTCTGATTTTAGGTTAGTTAGTCGTCGTTTTCCCGGAAAGAGGAGAAACGTTAAAAACGACAGTCACTTACATTCTTAAAAAATCCATGGCGTTCTATTGGCATTCTGACGACAACCTTAGAAGCACCGACGCAGCTGCATACGTAACCACAAAGTTGATGACCGGCGCCGGTGCCCGTGTTTACAATAGACCATTCCACCGACTGTGGAAGAAGAAAGAAAAGAATCAAAAAGCACCGGAAACAGTATTGATAAACAGATCAAATCGTTCACTTTTTCTAGTTTTCTTGACCAAGATAATTATTCTGGACTTGTTGGTGTGCCACAGAGGTGTTCACAAATGATCTACATACTGGTTTTCGGTACTGTTTCCGGTACTTTTTGATTCTTTTCTTTCTTCTTCCCCATTCGGTGGAATGGTCTATTATGTTTTAGTTGGTCGCTAGTGTCGCGAGCTCCCGAGAGATAGCGCACTGCAATCATGTCTGAACGACACCATCTAAAGAACACGCCAAAGGTAGACCATGGTGTGGAAATCCCACATATCCATGGTTACGTCGTTGACCATGGTCAGTCGAGGACAAAGTATCATGGTTGCAGAGATGGGCATGGGTGATCACCATGGTCTAGACAGAGTCCATGAATAAAATTCTGATTTTCCATGGTCAAAACCTCATTATGACCATGACAGTCATGGTTTTTTACCCTGGGCATGGCAGAGGGAAGGGAAGACAATCAAAATTCAAACGCTACGCGGCCACTCTACGCCACTACACAGCAAACATAACACTACCAACCACACACAAAAAAAATATGCTTAAAAACCTTTAAATTTATTTCAACACAACACCTCAACTACAAAACGTTATGCTGAACGAATTAAAACTTATTAAATTCATCTTCACCACACATTTTCAAACTTACCTTAGTCTTTTCAAAAATTACATTCTGACAAAATAAAATGGTTTTGTTGTAGTGGCAGCCCAAAGAAACGGTGTGATCGTCCGGTGGGATTGAGCGAGCGTCATGGTCTCGTATAGTTTAGTTTATGTTAGTATAGTTCAGTTCAGTTCAAAACTCGACCAACAAGGGACTTTGGGAGAGCTACTAGTTACCCTACAAATGCCTACTAACATAGTTGAGTCGAAACGCTAGGTAACTGTTGAAGTGCTACGCACTTGGAGAAACGTGGGCTGCTGGCCGCATCCTGTCTGAAAACGTATACAGGCACAGGTTCCTAGGACAAGCACATCACAATCCATCTTAGTCTACTATGATCTACTTATAAGTTTCAGTGTTGTCAGAGAGTGTTGGGTGAATTACGACGATTGTGGTGAAAAATCGGTAGCTGGCTGACCCCGGGTTTGCCCTTAAGTGTCCTGAAGTGTCCGTTAGGCGCGCAACGTCACCTATCCCTCTACTTTTATCTACACACTGTGTGGAATGTTGTAGTATTGTATTTGGTGCAGTATTGCGTACCTACTTAAAAGTAGAGCATTGGCCGTCACCATATCATTCAGCTTGTGTGTTTCGTTTGAAATTGGCTTATTTTGGGGGATTTTTGGGGCTCCTACTAACGTCTACTTACGAAGGCCGACATATTTTGTCTCATGAACTATTTCTCTAAAGGTAATGCAAATGCATGGCTTTGGGTCTTGCCAATGACAAGCACACCTAGACGGACCCAACCATCGTTTTTGAAAACGGGTGCGGTTAATGTTTAGGAGTAAAATTCTGACTCTACTTAAGTCTACTTACGATCTACAAACGAATTGCCAAGTCGGTTATATCGGGTCTTGTTTGGGTCCGGTCTACTACTCTTAGCCCCTGTTTGGCACCTTAAAGGGTTAGTTGTCATTGGCTTAGCGTTCGGGAAAGCCACTCCATTGACCAAAAAAGTTAGATTTTATTTGAATCTATTTGAACGCTCTTTTAAGGTAGATATTTAGAAAATTACGCAAAGTGTACAAGACTGCCATGGTATCTAATCACGGATTAGTGTGTTGTTCGGCTGGTCGGCCACCACATCACGGCACCGCAGACGGCAACATCACACGAGGGTCCGAACGGGCCTCTGGCTTGCTTCGCAGCTAAGCTGTGAGCAAAATGGCTGACGCCAATTTCAAACAGCCCGGGTGAGTCCTAGTTTTTCTTTTTAGTCTTAGCAGACGATAAATTTTACATATCTAAATCACGTGAAAAAACGAACCTCGGACCACTTCGAAGCCAAACTCGACTCGCGAATTCTACAGGGCCCTTTAGGAAATCCCAAAGGACTTTTGCAATAATTTTTAAACGCGTTCCTCCGGCAAATTCCAGATTTTTTTAACAGTGTTCCAAACAAATTTTACTGAAGACAAAAACTGTTATAGATAAACAACAGGTACTCTCAAATTTAAAAAAATACTTTTGGCTTTTACTTAATTAACGTTTTGTCTTAGAACAACAATTACATTAGGAGGACCAAGAATATTTTAAGTTAGTTGACCAATGGCAATATTTGTTGTTGACAATCAACATTTAAACAATTAACACTCTTAAAATCTTACGAACGATTTGTTCATATTATGAACGTCCTGTTCATAATAAGAACAGTCCGCGTGCTGTCATACTACGAACACAACTCGGTCCTATCATGAAACCTCTCGTTCGTAATATGAAGTTTATCGTTCGTATTACAAACGATTTTGGTGTCAGTACCTTACTAAGCGATCGGTTTTCCTTCCAAGACGTACGAATCCAAAAATCATTCATATTATGAAGCAAGCCGTTCATATTACGAACGGTAAGATTCGTATTAGGAACAAATTGGGATCGTACTATGACATCACCAGTACAGAATTCTTCATAATATGAACTTGAGAATCATAATATGAACAGTGGCGTTAATATTATGAACACTATTTGTTCGTAGGATTCTAAGAGAAAAGAACCTCGACCACTAATAGTTGTAGGTTTCACGAGAAAATTTGAATAGTTACGGAATTATATGTTATATTATGTGTATAAGAGACCGATTTTTGTTTAAATGTTCTCTATCAGACATTTGCTGACCTCTGGTGGGGTAACTCGTCAAAATAAAGCCCCGATGAGCAGAATTCGTTTCTCAAGGGACCGAAGGCCTATCTACGACTGTTCCGTTTGCCCGACTCGGGTGTCAGCGCAGCAGCGCTGCCTTGGTAGATGTATGCCCAGCGCATCGCAGCGTAACAGTGTTTCGTGAGATATCGCGAAGCCTGTTACGCGAGACGTGGTCTGGCATCTACCCACTTTAAAAATGAGTCCGAACAAATTATACATTTGGGAAAATACGTTTGTACCTACTCACCCTAGGTTCATTTTAAGCCATTTTAAGCCTTTTTCTAGGCTATTGTGGAACTTAAAGTTCATCATGTGAGGTTCCGGCAAATTTTGATAAGAAATACAGACATTAGGGTATTCCGATGCGAGCGAACCGGAACCTAAAGAAGAAAAGCATGACTGCCCGATCTGTTTCCTCTTGAAGGACCAAGGGGAATTAGGCTTGAACTTCGGTGTACGTTTCCTTGAAATTCGGCGAACTTCGGTGAACTTCAGTGAATTCTAGTGAACTCCGAGCACTTCAGTGACCTTCGCGGAACTCCAAACGAAGTTCTCGAACTTCGACCTGATCCAGAGACATGAAAGCAAAATTTTTCCTTCGTAATCTTTGTTATTCGGCCCGTAGATATCTGCTTTGAGTCAGCTAGGGACTCGCTTAAAGTAAGCACTCAAAATCGCTAAGTTCAGCCTAAAAATATGTACTAATTTATTCTGAACTTCAATGAACTTCTATGATTTCTTTTGAACTTCGGGGAGCTTCGACATTTCTTTTGAACTTTGGGGAACTTCGACGTTTAATTTTGAACTTTGAGGAACTTCAACTTCTGATTTTGAACTTCGGTGGATTTCGGTGAGCTTCGGTGAATTTCAGTGAACGTCGATCAAATTTTACACAGCGAAAGTCAGTGAACTTCGGCCGAAGTTCATGAACTTCGACTTCGGGTGTACGATTTTTTGGAGCATATTTCCCTTTGTTGAGGACCTATACTTGGACATCTAGGACAGTCCATAACCATATTTGCCACTTTTACTACAGTTTATGTCGATTCAGTTATATCATAAATACCCTTACTTTACCGTCAAAGTGTCATATTCCGGACAAATTTGACCATTTTTCCTCAATATTTCTAAAATCGGTAGGGGTATGAAAAATTCCAGCGGATTCTAGAAACTAGGCGCCAAGATACATATTTTCCACCTGGAGAGGAAATTTTCTTTGCGCCAGTTCACCTGCACAAGCCTCTGAAACCCCGTCCCAATTTAAACCCGAAGTCGGGGCAATTCCGGACAGTCCCTATTTATGCTATCAAATAGCAGTAGAACAGGTCGATATTCCTATACTGCACTGCAGCTGCGTGCCAGTACACACCAACTTAACCCGTAACTGCGGAGCTAGAGTGATTTTGAAATTTTCGAGGCAAAATTGGTCCATTTTAGAAGTTAAGAAACTTTTGCAAAAGTCAGTGCTATTTTAGTAGAAAGACATTGATTTCGCAAAATACGCCATAAGAATGTGTACAACAATCTTTACCTAACAGAACTTTGTCAAAATTGAAAATTTATTGCATTTTTAACGAAGATTTGTAAGTGAGAGATCGAGTGAAATACCATACAGTCAATATTACGCGCAAATGTCCGCAGGATATTAAAAATTTTCGACTCCAGCGTAGGGACGTTAAAGCTGTATCTAGTGACCGTGGCTTAGCATTGGTGCTATGCGGCACATGCATTGAAGAACCGATTCATAGTGTGTGTACTAGTCGGGTCCTATTATTCAAGTTGCACTCATCTGGGCAGCTCTTAGATGTGAAACTACTACTTATTTAAGTCTCCAGAGCCTTCCGGAAAAGTTTCTATCTAAATTATGAACCTATTGTGTAATTTGCTGTAAAAATGCAAAAAAGCAGTGTCCGGCCGGATTTACCCTGCTGGTCCGGAATTAGACACTTTGACAGTATCTCGATCTCTCGCGACAGGCATTCCAGCTGGTCGAGAATTTGACGTGTTTTCGTCTTTTTCACTTATTTTCCTCAACTTACTGCCAAGTTTGTTGCTGGTCGGTTTCTTAATTTTTAGTTTCATTTGATCCAAATTAGGTGTATATGCTTCTTTCGGATCAGGCAATAATTCAAAGACCCCGTGGGCTGGGGACCAAAATCTTGTTCACTTATAGAGCCGACTACCGCCAATCTACAAGACGACAAATTCGCCAGCTTGATACAAAGCTGATCCGAATCTGAAATAAGTTCATATGTCCTTATTTCGGATCAAAATCACGACCTTACTCAAATTGTCGTATCTCCAAAACGAGTGCAGAAATGGATACAAAACAAATAGCGTTTTGTTAAGGAAAACTGACTATCTGACTATTTTGTCCCCTTCTACGTGATTGCTCTGAAACCTGTGTGCTTGAGTATCGAAACGGAATACAAAAATCTCATCCGAAATAGGTTGAATACTCTTCTAATCTTCCTCGGTTAGGCTTTTTTTGGAAGATCTTTCATGGACTATATAGGAAACGAATGAGGAAAGGTCAAAAAAGTTGGAATGAATTTACAAAATGCTACAGCCACCCTAAAGTAAGACTTGCAGGGCTACGCCTAACACGTACATTTGTAAACGCTAGGTGCGTCACTGTTTTGCGGGAGATATCATGAAACCTGTAGCACGCGACATGATGTGGCGTTCCTTTATACTGGAGTACATCTTAATTTATAAGATTTGACTACAAGTTTGGTTGTACTTAGCTAATAGATCGTTATACTGTATATCTAGTTCTACATGTGCGACAGTAATGCTCTGTGGTTAATCATTTTTGTAACTTTTTTTTTTGCAGATTACTTAAAGAAAATCAAAATCAAATCAAATTCTTGAAAGAAGTCAATGATTTGACTCTACAATTTTGTAAGGCCATGTGGAAAAGTAGCTTGGAAGAATTCAATGGAGTGTTATCAAGGGCAAAACTCATGCATACGCCAGATGTGTCGCTGGAGAACTCGCTCTCTGAAGCCTGGGAAATCACCAAACTTCTTGGGTGCCTTGTGACCTACTCGCTAGAGAAAAGAATGATGGAAATTCTTATTGATTTACGATTTCGGGTGTCTGCCACCCAAGAAATTATTGCTATCAACCCGATTCTGGAATCACCAAATGGTTCTTCAGTGACTAGGTGCGACGTGAGTGAAGAACTCACGAAATCTGACTCCCAGACAAAGAGTACTGCACGTAGAGGCAAAATAAAAGTTCAATATAGTTCTACTTCAGACTTCCAAGAAAGCACATCAAAAGAAACAGTGCGTGGTTATAGTGCAGTAGCAGATTCTAAAGATTATCTGGCCATCCAAACACCTATGAATGGCAGTGCACAGTCATGTCAAAATCCTCTAAAGAACCATCCTGAATTGGCTGCAAAGCGGGAAAACAACAAGGGCACGAAACCCGGGGATAGAAAAGTGCCAACTCTTGTTGATTTGAAAGAAAGATGGGCCAGAAAGCTCGTCGAGGATCTTAAAATGTTTTGTGGGTCCTGTTTCGCCGGTACCATTGATGACAATGCGATTTTTCGCGGATGTATTGTGTTGCAAGACATACAAGAAGCAAAACGTAGACTGAAAAATACATATGATGTTCTTCCGTGGGAGGAGATAGAATTTCTTCTGGCACGCTTTATTTCCCTCAGTGTTGGGCAAACTCAGATGCCTTTGCTTGAAAAGCTGGCATTAGATACAGATAAAATTCGAGAATATCTAGATGAATTTAAGATCGCATTAATGGATGTATTGGAGGATGTAAAACACCTGCGGAAGGAAAATAATTATCCCGCCGCAGAGAAGGAGAAATGGTTGAGAAGGCTTGGAGAGGGTCCAAGAAAAAATATTGAGGTCTGTAAAATAAGTGCTGCGTTTGAAGCAGGTGCACAGCTGTCCTTCTTAGAAAAGTGGAAACATGTGCGCACTGATTACTGTCTGCTACGGGATGTTTTTTCGCTGAGAGAGATTAATCATCACATAAACAATGTGTTTGAGGCTATTGATACAGAAAATGAAAATGTTCTGCAGATTTTACAGCAGAAAGCATACCAAGTCACCGGTGAGCTTATAAAAAATACGTGGGATAGTCCAAGAATGTCTTCAGATACGGGAGCTGAGATAATGCAAGTGGCCCCTGAATATTTTAGGTCTACATTGAAAAAGGCCCGTGACAAGCTGGCTAGCTATTCTGGACCGGGAACTCCCGTTGACTTTGTTGAAAAAGAATTAGAAAAAGTCCAGATTGCAACCTCCAAAGTACTTAGTCACAGAATTTGTTCGGCTCTGCTGCACTATGCTGAAGATAGAGACGTGGATTTTGATGAGGTCATTAAAGAGTGGAAAAACCTGCTGCCTATGCATGAACGGACAAATAATTTAATCTTGAAGCAAAATGAGCATTTGAAAGAGTTGTTACTGTTACTGGAGGATAAAGAGCTGGATGCCGCAAAAGATCTTCAAGAAGCGATTGCGGACGACACACATACAGATCTCAAATACCTTGACAAAGACATTTTCTGGGATATTTTTCTCAATAAATCAGTTGTCAGGACATTGATGAACAATCTGCAAGACCTAAAGAGGAAATACTTATCTAGGAGTAGAGTATTAGACACGGTCACAGAGGTTTTTTCACAAATACGACAGAGAACTGCCACAAACTTGATGTCCATACAGGTTCGCATGGAGGCACTTTCTTTAAAAACCATCAGGTCTCCGTTCGGCCAACTGAATCTAGACGACAAGAAAGAAATCTCGCCTCCCAAGCCGAATCACGACTTGCCAACAAGTGTTATTGAAAGCCTGATCCTTAGAGGACAAATGGAAATGCACCTTGATGACAAACAGCATCGGCAGAGGCACTTTAGCTCGTCCACTATGGCCGCCTTGGAACAGTGGCTTCTGTACAAAGCAAATGGCTGGTGCCACGAAGGCAAGAGCAAATCCTCGCAAGTCCGTGCTGTGGTTGAAGTCGCGTCCCCCGTGCTCTTCGGCACGCTCCTGAGAAACTACTTGGCACACTCTGGCAATACGGTGATAGACGGTTTTCTTTTCTCGCCATCGCTGGAGATTGCAATCTTGGCCGAAAAGCTGGCGTCTGGATTTCGTTCAGAGAGTGGTGCCCACCAGAAGTCACTTCCGATCACGAAGGCTATCGACCACCAAAACTGGCTCAGAAAGCAAGTCATTGAACCGAAGTGTCAGCTTTTTCGGGCAGCGCAACAAGGGAAGATAGAAGACGTTAAGAGACACCTCTGCCAAGGGATCCCTGCCACCGCGCGGGACTTCCGAGGTCAAACGTTGCTGCACGTCGTGGCAGCAAGTGGCTCCCCGAAAGGGATGGACGTCCTCAGGCTGCTGGTTAATGCGGGCGTCCCCGTGGCTGCTGTTGATCGGATGGGGCGGACCGCCCTGCACGTTGCCACGACGCACGGTGCCGCCCGTCTCCTCCTAGAACACAACAGGACCATCGCCTGTCGACAGGACGGTGATGGCCGTACCCCATTGCACAGCGCGGCGCTTGCTCTGTGGCCAGACCTGGTGCGCCTATTCGTGGATGAGGCCGGCATCGACGTCAACCTGCCAGACAAGGAAGGTCGGACCGCCCTGCACTTAGCCGTGGGCCAGACGGCGAGCCCGGACCGAGCTCAGCGGCTGTCGAAAGTAGTCCAGTTTCTGCTGCAGGAGCGTGGTGCCGACACGGAGGTGCGCTCAAGCGAGCTGCTGCGGACCGCACTCCATGAGGCCGCAGCCTCCGGCAACGAGGACGCAGTCCGCCTGCTGTTGGCTGGCCACGCCGATGTGCTGGCCGCCGAGAAGCGCGGCATGACTCCTCTGCTGTTGGCCGCGGCGCGCGGCAGGGCAGGAGTCATCTCTGCCCTTCTGGAATTAGAGGGCACTCGTCAGCTCGCCTCTGTCGCTCGAGGGAGGATGACGGCCTTGCACATCGCTGCGCGCAGCGGTAGCGCTGCCGTAGTCGAAATGCTACTGAAGGCGGCCAAGTCATGGAGTCTGTTGGCGGATGGCCGCCAAAGGACACCACTACACTATGCCGCAGAGTTTGGACATCTCGAAGTGGTCAATATGTTGCAGGTAACGATATCTGCGGAAGCAGTCTAACCTTAACTAAGCCGTGTCTTTAGACCTAAGGGGCATGGCAGAACTCGTGCAATTGTTGCACGTTTAAGTCAGCAATTAAGCAAACAAAATATTACAAAAAGTTCTAGCAGTTTATCTAAGTGATTAAAATGTGCTCTGTGAAAAATCGTCGTATGTTTACGATCAAATATTTCTGTAATTTGTGTGTGAAATTAGAATCTGAAATTTTTGACTCACAATAAGCACTCCGTATCGACTTGGGATCAATAGGAAAAGAAGACTGCTCTGTCAACAGTTCAGGCAGTGCCCATTTAAAGAAGAATTAAGGAAATCAGCACCGGAAATAGATCTAAAAAGGAGGCAAAATAAGTGAAGATGAGCCTTAGCACTCACTAGGGTTTTATTCGAGGTTATTTACGTCGAACTGCATTGTAAAATGGTCAAAATCAGCGAACTTAATGTGCTGGTTCCGGTCGAGATTTCTTTACTTCCTCTCAAAACGCGCACAGTCGGAACCGTCTATTGAAATGCGCACATTGTGTACTTAAACAAGCAGGCCCGCCCTTCCGCCAAACGGAGTTGCCAGCTCCACTTCGCTGCGCCGGCAACTCCGTTCGGCAGGGGCCGGGCCTGCTTGGCCTGCCGGCGGCGATGGTCGGGCCTTCGGCCCGACCATTTCAGTC